CAGGCTGGGTTGGGTTCTAACAGTATCATACTCAGGTAAGTGAGAGAACACAAACTTTTCGAGCAACTGAACCATGGCATCCCTAGGTCTAGGGACCAGATCTGTAATACCTCTGAGTCCAGCCAAAGAAAGGAGCCCCAGCAGTGTAAGTCCTAAGCATGGACAGACAGTCCCAGGTGTTTCGAAGAGGCAAATTAAAAACTGTTAGGCTAGGGAGAGGGAAGTAAGGACAGAGAGAGGAAGAAAAACTTGCGCTATTCAAGAAGAGCTTACAACTCAATATTTTAAAGCACAGGAAAAAAAACAAACAAAAAAACAAAAAAATCTCATCCCTGACAAAATAAAAATAATAAAGAAATGTTAAAAAGTACTTAAAAGTTAAGTAGTTTTTTAGTTTAGACTAGTGTAACACTAGTCTAAAGAAATAAATAAAAAACAGGTATGGATGAAATGAGTACAAATGTATATAAATAAGAAGCAATAAGAGACCCTGGAAATGAACAGAGTTAGTGAAATAAAAAACTCACTGGATGGGAAACATTATAGAGTACACACTGGTGAAGAAGAATAAATGAACAGAAAAATGGCCTAATTATCTATAATGCAGCAGAAGGGGGTAGGTTCAAGTCCTGGACCTGGCTTTAAAAACACGCCATGTGTGCGCATATATGTACCTGTGTGCCCAAAATCCTTGAGAGGAGAACAGAGAAGAAGGGACTGCAGTGGAACCATCTCCCCTGGAGGGTGATTTATTTCTTTTCCTTTCTCTGTGTCTCTCCAGTGAGCACATGTGCCCTTTGGCAAAAAAAAAAAAAAAAAAAAAAAAAACCTTAATTTCAAAAAAGGTAAGCCATATGCATATAGAGAATTACTAACATATCCAGATAACAAAAGTCCAAGAAAGAAAGAATAATAAAAATAAGCAGTAGGATCCTCCCGGGGGGTGATTTTCTCACTTTCTGTCTCTCTGTCTCTCTCTGCCTCTCCTGCAGTGCATAAGCCCTATAGTAAAACTCTCTCCAAAAATAAATAAATAAACTGTAGGAAGAATTTGAATAAAATAGAGATAACTTTTCAGAATTAAATAGATGAAAATTCTTCCAGTAAAAAAAATCCCATGGGTGATAAAAGGGGGGAGAAATCCATACTTAAGAAGCATATTGCAGTAAAATTTAAGTTTCATCTTTTCTTTTTTCTTTCTTTTTTTTTGGTGGAGACTTTTGCTATAGAGCACATGCACTTGACAGATAGACAGAAAGTGAGAAATCACCCCCTAGATTCTCATGCCATAATCCCTTCTCTCAGGATTTTGGCCACATGTGCACACACACTCAGCATGAGTTTCAAGCCACCAGGTCCAGGACTTGAACCGCAGTAAACCATGTGGGAATCCAGTGATGTAACCATTACACCATCTGCTGGTCCCAAATTTAAGTCTTTTCAACAAACAGACAAACAGTATTGGAAAAATGCAGTATCTGCTGTCATAAATAAATAAACAAATAAACAATCTACACTTTATACCTTATTCAAAAATGAATTAAAAGTAGGTCTATGACCTATTTGTAAAACACTTCTAAGATAAAATGTATGTGATCTTAGGTTATCCTGAGTTTTCTGAAGCATGATCAGGAAAGATATGATGAGGGACCAGCAGTTAGTGTAATGAAAGATATGATGTTAGACTTATCAAAATGTGTAAGTTTTGCTCTGTGAAAACCAGTTTAAAAGAAGGCACTGGACTCCTGCATGGCTGATTGTGGTTCCTGTCCTGGACACAGGAGCTCGAAAATAACATGGGGCGCATGTACATAATCCCAAGAGGAAAATGGAGGAGAGTGGAATGTGACATGGCAATCCCCTCTGGGGGATGACTTCTCACTTTACCACTCTGTCTCTTCTCTCCAAGGCAAGCACATGTGCCCTAAGGCAAAAATCAATGAATTAATTTTAAAAAGAGAGATTGGAAGAAAATATATACAGATCTCATATCTAACAAAGGACTCATATCCAGAATGTATGAAGAATTCACAAAACTCAATGGTAAAAAAAATTCAATTAGAAAATGAGCGAAAGATGTGAATATACATTTCACCGAAGAGATATTTTAAGGGCATAAAGAAGAACATGCTGTTAAAAATCATTAGTCACTTGGAAAATGCAAATTAAAACTACAATGAAGTATCACTGCAAACCTAATAGAAGAGCTAAAATAAAAATATTTGCAATACCAAAAGTTGGTGAAAATGCATAGAAAATGGATTTCTCATATAATGCTGATGGGAATATAAAATGGTATAGCTACTTTGGAGAAGAATTTGACAGTTTCTTACAAAACTTAGCTTGAACTTATCTATCATTCAACCAGTAATCATACCCTTAGACATTATCCCAGAGATATGAAACTTCACAAAAACCCACAAACAAATATTCACAGCAACTATACTCATAAATAGCTCCAAATTGGAAATACTTAAATATTCTTTTTTTTGAGAAGTTTTTGCAATAGGGGATGTGTGCTTGCCAGAAAGAAAGAGACAGAGAGACAAAAGGCAAGAAATCATCACCCCTCCCCCTCAGGAAGGACGGCCACACCGCAATCCCTTCTCCATTAGCCTCTTGGGATCTTGGGCATGCACGCACACACGTCCGGTGTGAGTTTAAGCCACTGGGTCTGGGACTCGAACCAGGGTCAACTACATGAAAGTCCAGTGACACAGCCATTACGCCAACTGCTGGTCCCAATACACAAATATTCTTCAATGGATGAGTGGTTAAATAAACTGACACACCCTGGCACCAGCAGATGGTATAATGGTTACGTTGCTGGACTCCCACATAGTTGACCATGGTTTGAGTCCCAGATCTGGTGGCTTAAAACTCATGCAGGGCACATGTGCATGCATTCCCCAGATCTGGAGAGAAGAATAGAGGAGAAGGGATTTTAGAGTGGGCATACCACCTTGTGGGGAGGGGGGATTTTTTTACTTTCTGTCTCTCCAGCAAGCACATGTGCCCTATGGCAAAAATCTCTCTTAAAAAAATTAATAAAAATACAAGTTCTGGAGTTGAATATTATATCCCAGAATTTAATAGGAAAAATGGAACCAGAACAGAAGATAAAGTACATGAGACTGATAGGTTCATGCACCTACCATTTGAACAGAATCCTAACCTATTTCCTGGCTTTAAGAAAAGTTCTTTAGCATTTCTATGATTTAAATTAAAACTTTTTTTTTAATAGTACCATGTGAACTTACCATTGAAAGTAGTTAGATTATTTAAGAAATTGTGTGATCAATACAATGTGGGTGGAAAAGGAATGGAAGACAATTGTAGACACCAGAGACAGTGGGAGAAGAGGGTGGGAAAGGACAGAGGGTCAGAAAGAGGGGTAAAAATAATTCTAGGAACTATACATTTTTGATAATAATATGCATGATTAAGTCACTATGCAGTATATTCTGGATGGGAAATCACATTTTGTATGCTGTGATGATGCTTAGGAAAAGAATGTAAATTGAGTTACAAAAAAAAAAAAGTTTCAGAAAAAAAAAATCCATTCGATGACCACAGTAAGATATATAGCCCCAGCTAGGTCTACTTTATAGGATGTCTAAAGTTAGACTTGTGTTCATAGAAAAGTATATATCTGCTGTGTTTGCTATGAAAATATTTAGATTAATTAAGATCTTTAGTAATTCAATAAAATGTGTGGGAGGGAACAGTATAGAAAGTAAACATAGATACCAGAGACAGTGTGGGAAGAGAGTGGGAGATGGCAGAGGGTAAGAGATAGGGAATCAAGGATGGGGGAGGTAAAAGAAAAACAAACAGAAAACAAGAAATGGAAAATTATTTGTTGACAATAACATGTATGTTGATGTGCTTGATTGAGACAATATACAGTGTACTCTGGATGGAAAAATCTCATTTTGTATGCTGTAATGATGTACAGTGAATGAACATAAACAAATAAATTTAAAGAAAAAAATGAAAATAAATAATAAATAAATAAATAAAATAATACATCCTTACAATGAGACACTACTCATGAATAGAGAAGAAAAAACAGTGAATACATGCAACAATCTGAATTACACTGAGTAAAAAAAAAATTCAGTCTCAAAAAGGTTACATATTGTCTGATTTGATTTATGTAAAAAATTACAGAGATGGAGTAAAGATTAGTGGTTGCCAGGGAACGTGTCAGGGTTGGGCTGGGATGCAGATAGAGACGTTTTTCTTTCGGTGAGAGAGTATACCCACCAGAGACAAAGAGAAAGGAAAAAGCACACCCCTCCCCACCCCAGAGGCATGGTCACACTGCGATCTCTTCTCCACTTCTTCCTCCTCTTGGGGTTTTTGGTCATGTACCCATACACACCTGGCATGTTTCTCGAGCTGCCAAGTCCAGGACTCCAACTGCCCAGATGGCCACGTGGGATCTAGCCACCTTAATTATCAGGCCATGGGCTGGTGCCCCAAAAGATTTTTTTTAATGAATAGATGTAGATGGATTAGTCAGTAAATTAAATGTCGCCTTCCCATAGAGTACAAATAAAATAAACCTCTATCTTATATAGTAAAATTCCCAAGGGTATACGGACCTCAACAATTAGAAGAAAAAAATAAGTAAAAGGTTTTATTACATTAGGATAAAAAAAAAAAAAAACTGTCTTAAGATTTCTTAAAAAGCACAAACCATAAAGGAAAATTTTGGTAATTTGATCTTATTCATATTTTAGACCATGTATAACAAAAGACACCAGAAAACGAAGTTAAAAGACCAGCACAGTTTCTCTTAGATCACAACCAGCTGGAAAAGGCAAGAAAACGAATCATCCCTTAGAGTCCCAGAAAGGAAGGCAGCCCTGAAGACACCTTGATTTTAGCCCAGTGAGACTGGGACAGACTAGAACCCATGGAAATGCAAGGAACCACCCAATATCTGTGGTGATCCATTACAACAGCAATAAGGGATTACCCTGATGACTGACCTCTGTTGACTTCCAAGTGTTAATCTTGAGGGGCAGAGTTTCCTGAGACCCCACTGCTCCAGGAAGCGACTGGATGTCTGGGTACTGGTCTTGTTTCAGTACTGCCTTGGAAGCATTTTCTGTCAATAACATAAAGCTAAGATTTTACTTTGGCAAAAAACAGTAATGTTTTAAATTAGTTCACAATTTTTATGTTAATCACTTCTGAATATTCATGTTGCCTACTAAATATACATCATCTCCCAATGGTTACCTCTGAGTATAATTCACTTTAATACACCACTTTTAATAATTGACAAATTCAGACTGATACAAAAAACACAGCTTGGGTTGGCTCTGTGGTTATGTGGCTGGACTCAAGTGGCCAGCTGCGCAATTTGAGTCCCAGACCTGGTACCTTGAGAAACAAGCAGGGTGTGTGTGTGGGCACCCAAAATCCTGGAAGGAGAGTTAGAGAAGAAGGGATTGAGGGTTGGTCATTCCCCATGGGGCTTCCTCATTTCCTTCTCTGTCTCTCTTTGGAGCCATAGGTGCCCTCCAGCATAAATAAATAAACCAAAATAAAACATAAACTTAAAAATTAAAAAATAACCTAATTTCTAGCCTTTTCCCACATCAACAACTCTGTTATAGCTTTATTACTTGAAATATATATTTTTAAAATAAGGTATAATAGGACCAGCAGATGGCATAATGGTTATGTTGTTGGACTCCCATATAGTTAGCTGTGGTTCAAGTCCTGGACCTAATGGCTTTAAACTCATGCCAGGTGTGTGTGTGTATGCATGCCCAAAGTCCCAAGAGAAGAATGGAGGAGAAGGGACTGTTGTGTGGCCATCCCCCCAGGAGGATGATTTCTCATTTTCTGTCTGTCTCTGTCTCTCCGGCAGGCACATGCACCCATATAGCAAAAAGCTCTCTCAGGAAAATAAAAACATATAAGGTATAACAAAATAAAGTTTAAAAATGTGAAAGTTATTCAAATAAAAATTTAGCAAAGAATAACAATAATTATTCTACTTAATATTTAAAAGAACTTCATTACTATAGTGTGAATTTCATATGTTCTAAGAGAACCTAGTCAGAAACATACATGGAGTATTTGATTAGAAAATAAACTGTAGGAGTCAGCTGGTGGCATGGTGGTTAAGAGCACTTGACTCCCACATGGCCGACTGCGGTTTGAGTCCTGAACCTGATGGCTTGCTTTCTCACTTTCTCTCTCTCTCTGATTAAACTGGAAAATAATAATAAAGTTAAATAAAAAATAATTCTTTAAAAAAATTATAACAGTTTTTAAAAAAATAACATAAACGTTAAAGGAAAAATAAAAATACATCAATTAAAAACAGTGATATTTTTGCAGTCTTAATATCATTTTCTTTCTTACATTAGTTTCTATATATTAGTAACAATTCTAAAAAGCCTAACTCTGAAAATATTAGTAATAACTATACCTAAGCATATTATTGGCACAATAAGAAGTATAAGGGGAGTAAGCAGGTGGCAAGGTAGTTAAGGCACTGGACTTCCACACGGGTAATCAGTGTTCAAGTCCCAGACCTGGCAGTTTGAAATCACACTGGGTCCATGTACATGCATGCCCAAAATCCTGAGAGGAGAATGGAGGAGAAGGGATTGTGGCATGGCCATCACCCCTGTTAGGGTGATTTTTCATTTTCTCTCTCTTTATCTCTCTCTGGTAAATGCATGCGCTCTATAGCAAAAACCTAAAAAAATAAAAAATAAAAAAAATAAAGTGTAAGAAAACTACCTTCAAACCAGTGTATGTACACCACTGGGGTATGAAAAGGCTTTGAAGGGCTAGGTGGACAGTATTAAAGAATCAATTTCCAGATCCATGCCTTCCACATATATTCTTTCCCAAAACTGATCTGCTTGAGAATACAACTGCATCTAGCTAGTTTTCTCTCCCCCTGCCCTCTCCTAATCAACTTTTTTCTACTTTATAAAAGACATATCATCATCCATGGTGCATCTTTTCAAAGCCTAGGAACCTCTAAGGCACCAAGCTATAGTAAAAAATACTGGTATAGGGCAAGCCTCCCTTAATCAAGACATGAAAGACCCGCAGCAGAGTTTCAAAGTCCGTTCTGTCTCCTGCATTTCTTCCTATGGCAGAGCACAGCACAGCAACAGGGTACTGTGGTCCACACCAGGATGTTTAGTATTCATATCTATGATAGTATGGGGCAACGGGACAGTCGACACATTCCATTTAGTGTCCTTCTGCTTGTCTCAACTATCATCAAAGAAAACATCCTTCCGAAGAGAGAGTTCCCTGAGAGCAGAGCAAAGCAAGCACGAGGGCTGGGCATCCAGTGTCATCAGTGTCGCAGCTCATGACATGCCACATGCCTGAGCTACCCATCTCAGGAAAGAATTCAGGGGCGTGTATTAGAGTAATATTTATGATACATTTACTTAAAGAAACAAAGAAGTTTTCTGAAAAAAAAGTTAAAATTTGATTGGCTAGTTGTTTTGACACTGAGAGTTGGCTTCATTATATGGCAAATAGTCCCCAAAATCGAAAGAATCAAATGTATAGTTCAGAAGAGTTGATGAAAATATTTTTAAAGCACACAAAAAGATCACTTTCTCAAAAATTTATGTATTAACAGGTATATTGCAATTAGTAGTTTTATTTTTTCTCATACTTCTGGAGTATATTGGGTCAAAGTATAACAGGTTTAATGAACAGTTCTTTGATAAATTTTAGTAAAGATTTTTTGGCATCATTCCCAGGACCTGAGCGAATAAATTACTCCTAATGAATGTTTAACAAATCTTTTTCCAAGTAAGGTGCTTCCACTTCTTTGCTTCCAGTATTGATGATTTTTAGTCATGTTAACAGTAGACACGAAATAAAAAATATTTTTATAATAAATCACTGTATAATACTTGGCCTATTTGAAGGCCAATACTTTGAAGGAATTCACTGAATTGACATTACTATCATAAAGCACCTTCTATTCCCACCTACAATTTATGTGAATTAGTTTTCTCAGCATTTATATCTATAAAAATATAAAACAGAATTTATGATGAACTCTGCTTATATGGCAATAAGTAATATTCATATATGGTAAGTGAACAGTCCCATGTAACTTATCAAAGCATGTGTTTCCCATAAAACTATATTTTTTTCTAAGTATTTATTAAAAACTTATATTTATGCGATTTTGATTGCCTATGTACTAAAATTAATTGTAATAATAAGTTAATCTAGAAGGAATGTCTCCCCGTGTAAAACTTTTGGTCACAGAAAATGCATATAAAATAATTTCAATTTATATACATATTTGAGGTAGAAAAGACTTTCAAGCATAAAAGTAATTAATATTAGGATAAATTTCTGTGACAGATATGGAATAAAAATATGACCTCAGAGAGAAAATGGACTGATATAAAATTCCAAGAATTAAAAAAGACTACATGTATTTCTTTAAATGAATTACTATAGGTATCAATCACAATGGTAGTTAGATTCCTTTAGATACACTAAAAAGCCTGATAGGACAGTTTTGTTTGTTTTGTTTTTCTTTTGTCTTTAATGTTGATATTTAAATATGCCAGAATTACATCCTTTATAGTTATTTATACTTATAAAACTTCACATGTCAACTTTAAAATGCCTAAGTAGGCATATAACCTTTTAAAATCATCTTGGGGGACCAGCAGTTAGAGTAATGGCTAAGTTGCTGAACTCCCATGTAGTCAACTGCGGTTCAAGTCCTGGACCCAGTGGCTTAAACTCACGCTGAGCTCGTGTGCATGCATGCCAAAGATCCCAAGAGGAGAATGGAGAAGGGTTTGCGGTGTGGCCATCCCCCTGGGGGGTGATTTCTCACTTTCTGTCTTTCTGTCTCTCTGTAGAGTGCATGCGCCCTGTAGCAAAAACCTCTAAAAAAAATAAAAATAAATAGCTAAAAAGACAATAAAATCATCTTGGGATTAGGCAAGTAAAATATCCTGGAAAGCGATGGTATAAAAGTTTATAGCCTGAACAGAGAGGTAAGTCTAACATTCAGACTTATACTTACTTAATAATTATATATAAAACTTTCGTGAATTGTCTAATTTTAGGAATAAGCATTCATAGGAGGAAAAAACATGTGCACCACAGTAATGAGGAACAGCCTCAAAGAGAAAGCAGAATTTAGACAAGGCTTTATGGATGAGGATTCCGATAAATGTGGAGGAGAAAATTTATTTCAAGCAGGAATCAGTAATACCTTAATGAAGTCAGTAAGGTATTACTGACTCCTGCTTGAAGATGCCAGATCTCCTTCAAGATTTCTTGAAAAAATAACAAGAACTTTTCATTTATGGCTGCACCTTTTCATTTGGTTATGACTCCACATGAAACAGAATAGTTAAAATGGGCTCATATTGGGGGCCAGCAGAGCATAGCAGTTACATCACTGTTCCCATATAATAGACCACAGTTCAAGTCCCAGACCCAGTGGCTTGAAACTCACACCGGGCACATGTGTGTGCATATCTAAGAACCCAGAAGGAGAAGGGATTGTGGTGTGACCATCCTCCCTGAGTGATGATTTCTCACTTTCCTTCTCACTGTCTCTGTCTTTCTCTCCAGAGAGTGCACATGTCCTAAGGCAAAAACCTCTTTTAAAAAAAAAAAGGCTCATTTTGGACTTGGAGATTTTATAAATAATAATAGAAAACAGTGGTGCCTTAGGGCTTAGATCATTTATCTACTTTCATTAGATTTAATCAGGAACTATAATATCACTCCTTCAGCATTCAGTAACAAAATTATCTCTGAAATATAAACTTAAGTTTTAGATATAATTTAGAAGTAGATTCTAAAATTTCAGAAAGTCAGTTTTAAATTTTGAGAGAATCTGAAGAATACTAAGAATTATAAAATTTAAAATCACACATTTAGAGATACATTTTAGTCTAGAACAGCTAACGTATGATAAAGCTATCTTAATTTATCTTATGTGTCAAGAAGGAAAGCAGAATAGTGAGTCTATAGAAATTCTTTTTTAGAGCATCAGATAGCACAATACTGAAAGCAAAGTGTGCTTAATTAGATTAGATTAGGTGGTTACACATTTATTTCTGAATT